TTGTCTTAGTTTGGTGGACGAATTAGATACAGGCCCAGAGATCAGTTAGCAGCCCTTGAATCAGTGCCATAGAGAAGGGAATAGAGTGTGGGTTCAAAGGAGGGTGAATCTGGAGGACTTGGTCAGTGCTGGTTTGGGAGGCGAGTCATAGAAGTTTGGGTAACTGGGTTTCTGGCTGGGGTTGTTAGGGATGAGATGGGGAGCAGGGTGAGGTAGGAAGGGTGTGGACTCTGTGTGCTCATGGGACTTCCAAGTGGAGCCATCTAGGCAAGACGGTGGATATGTGGAGAGAGGCCCAGGCCGGGTTGGAGATGGAATCACCAGCTCATGCTGCGGGCTTGAAACCATATGTTTGGATGAGGTCACCATGGAATCGCAACCGGGTGTGAAGAATAGCAGCCTGGGATGGCTGTTGGGGCCACAGCAACATTTAAACGAATGAGAAGGAAGAAAGTTCACCATGCACAAAAGAATAGTGATATTTTGCACTCCAACTAAGTTAAAGATTTTCAGGATTGAAAAAATGTTTGGCGTCTTAGCACCACAGTTATTTTGAGTGTGCATTTAAAATGCATCGCTGTGTTCTTCGAAGACATTTTTTTTTCCCCCAGCATGGTTTTAGAATGTGTATTCAACCTACCCTTCCCTAAGAAGCTTAAAGATTAGACTTAATGAGTAGTAAGAATGGTGGAGTCTGAGAAGTCCAACCCATTGAGATGAAGAAAAGAGATTCTTCACAAATATGTCGTTATGCTGTCCATTCCTTTTACAAATATTCTGAAGGGCTTGCTCTGAGCAAGTACTATGAAATCTTTAGGTCATTCTGCCTTTCCCTGAAAATGTACAGTGTTAGAATGTTCACTGTTGGGTTCTTAAATTAATATTTTGCATTGAAAAAAAGATATACCATCGGTTTAGCTTTTCTTAATTGCTTATTGCCAGTGTCTGTGACAAGACCTCAGTGCTTTGGGTTCCTGATCATTTCCTTTTCTAAATAATAATACTTCATACTCATGTGGCACTTAATGAAAAATTTCCCAGTGTTTTCGCCAGTATTTTATAATTTGATTTTCCTAATAAATAGCTGAGAAAGGTTGGACAGGCATTATTCCCACTTTCCAGATATGGAAACAGGCTCAGTGAGTAAGTTCATAATTAAGGAAGTGGGTGAGCCAAAGTTTTCCTGTAGTCATGGGACCATAATTTCATTGCTCTTTCCATGAAAAGAGATGTGTTACTTAAAGCTTATATGTTAGCAATTGGGTAAAAGCAAATGAATAGGGAGAAAAAAAATGCCCTATGTTTTTCAGAACGATTTTTCATTACTATCATCATTGGTTAATAATATGTTGAGTGGTCGGGGGGTATGTGATGCTATAGTAACTGTAGGTTTTATAGTTTTAGTTCAGACACGTATATATATGTATTTTAAATCATAAGTTTGTAGCAGATTGACAGATGTGTTTTCTTGTCTTTTCATTTTCGTTTAATCTGTGTCATGGCCCACTGGTTCACTAACAGGTGCATGTCTTCTGTTAACATGGAACATTGGAAATATTTAATTTCCCTTTTGGTATATTCAAGAACTTCTGCCTTTCCAGTGGAAAAGTGGAGCCGCCAGTACCCTGTGAGGAAGCGTGGCTTACATGTGACCTGATGACTTTGAGCCTTCTGGCTCACATGGGGCAGGATAACCTCGTCGGTCGTCGGCAACATCCTGCCTTGCTCAGGGAGTGGGCTTGGCTTCCCTCTCCATTAGGCACACTGCCCAGGGCCCAACTGCTTTCAGGGGCCCGTGAAAACAATACATATTTTTTTAAATCAGAAAAACAAAATAAACTTTTAGGTCAAAGAAAAGGTGTTAATATACAATAGTTATATATTCATCTTTACGTCAGTGCAGTTGTTAAGTATGATTTTTAGTTAGTTTTTTTTTTTCTTGTGGAGGGAAGGGCCCATCGAAGGCAAAAGTCCCCAGGGCCTGTGAAAGTCAGAAGGCAGCCGTGAGGGCGCGTAGGGTCCTGAGGGACACATGTGGTCTGCTCTGGACTCTGTTCTTCTCTCCGTCTCTTCCTAACCTATTTGTTCTGTTTATCAATTGATCGATGATTGATTCATTCCTCCTAAGAACTATGTGTGTGTGAACAATACTTCAGGAAAATGAGCGGTACGTGCGTGCGTGCGCGTGCACGCACACACACACACTCACACACACACACACGCACGACTGAGGTGAAATGTATACAGGCTAAGGACAGGGTGCCTGGGTTTGTTTCAGTTTCCATCTCTGAGCAGGATCTCCTGTATGCCCGACCCATTCCTGCCTGCTATGCCTCTTAGAATTTAGAACGTGCTTTTAAGAAATAATAGCCTCTGGTTAATTAAAAAAAACAATAATAATAGCCAAAACATTTAGAGCATTGCTGTATCGTTATCTTCTTTTTGTTGCCTCTCCGTCTTCTAAAGGACTTTAAAAATATGTAATGAAAAGGTTTTAAAATAAGACTTTCTGAAACAATAACTCATAAACCCTATCTACTGAGGACAAACAGTGGGACACTGGTCTCAAATTCAAGAACAAAGTGTATGTTGTCTGAGAAGGTGGAACTTGATAGGTGACAAAAGTTATTTTCAGGGAATATGGGCTGTTTTTTCTACTTTTTAAAAATCCTCTGCTTAAAATTCTATTCTCATTTTATTACCCGTATAATAGAACGGAGGTACTCTGTCCAGAAAACCCCACGATTTTTCTTCTGCTTCTGCTCTAGAGTGTTTACAGCCTGCTTCTCAGATGTGCCAAAGTAGTAAGAAATGACTACAATTTCAGCCTTGAAGGCCCCTTATTTCAAACAGAAAGTTCAGATATTTGAAATTAAATTCATTTAGCAAATTTATAATCACCAAGTGCATAAATATATTTCGAAGTTTACCATACCAAAGATAATATTTTTTTTATTGTACACATTATTATATTTTTAAACTAATCTTATTCTCATGAAGCTAGGGTGTATACACTAAGACATTTTCAATTCTCATTGCTTGCTCTTTGCCTGGCCTTTGCTACTCTTTCTTATTTGCATTCTAGGAAGTGATTTGTCAGGCAGGGTTTGTACTTTTAATTTTAAAGTAAGAAATGACTTTTAAAATTTGAGAAAAATATGAACCTTTTTTATATGATTGAAAATTAATAATCACTTTTAGAGTACACTTTCTTATTGTCTTCGCATAACCTGTAAAGCACTCCAAAAGTGCTTGGTTTTGCATTATTGTAAAAATTCTGTTTGTTGTAAAAGTGGGTTTTTTGGGCTTCCTATGATGCCTGATTCATTAACTTTACTTCTTGTTTTTTCAAAGGATCACAATCACATTGGTTAAAGATCATTTCAGTTTCATTTTAGTGCATTTATTTCTCTTGGCTCTTTCAATCCTGACTTACAATTCTGAAACACACTTCTTTGTTTATGATGCCCTTACAGGAATTTGTAAGTGTCTGGGTTCGAGATCCTAGGATTCAGAAAGAGGACTTTTGGCATTCTTATATTGACTATGAGATATGTATTCATGTAAGTATGCAATCAGTAGTTATAGAAATTATACTAATTTTTAGTGGCATATGTTTGATGGGATACTGTGATATACTTAAAATCGAAATTTGTAATGTTTTCTTAATTCAAAGAATTGAATTTTTAATGATTACAACTAATGCTTGTGTCTTAATGGAAGTAGTAAGATGGTTTCTGAAGTTGAAACATTACTGACTTGAATTCCTTGTTGTACCTGTGTTAATATTTTAATGTTTATTGCCTTAATGTATAAAGATGTGACTATGTCTAAAATTCACAGTTAAAGAATATTTATACCTCATTAATAGTATTTCTTTATGACCTTAATAGCATATTTCTAGGTAACATATTACTTGATAAATCTTAAATTTGAGAGGATATAGAGTTTTCTGGAGAAGAGCTATGCAGTGTTTTATAAGTAGAATAAGAAAGTAGAAAATGAATATGTGCAATTATTTAATAAATCATAAATAACATAAATAAATAACTAGAAATTAGGTACTTTATTTGGAAATAATACTATATCATAATCTCTTGAACAGTGTCATGTGCTCTGTGTAGTGTGCGGCCTTCTATGATCATGTTGAACAAGGGTCAGCAAACTTTTTCTGTAAAAGACCAGGTAGTAAATGTCTTTGGCTCTGTGGGCCATAGAGTCTTTCTCAAAACTACTCAGTTCAACTCTTGTAGGTGAAAGCAGCCATAAAACAATACATAAATGAAAGAGCGTAATTGTGTTCCAATAAAACTTTATTTGTGCAAACAAATGGTGGGCCGTATTTGGCCCACACGTTAGTTTTTTGGCCCTGATCATGAAGATAGTCACTTTTCCCATCTGATTTCATCCAGACTTTTTTGGGAACATAGAAGCAGGCTCAGGTTTTATCTGTGATGGCAGAGCACAAGTGAAGTAAAATTTACCCGCCTTTAATCTTCCCATTGTAAGTAGCTAAATTGGTGTATTATTGGACACCAGATCACCAGCCATAAAGCTTTTACTTTTTTCTTCTTTCTTCCTTTTTTTCTTTCAAGTTTCCCAATTTAGAAAATAAACAAAGTAAAAAATCAGAACTGCTTTTTTGATGATTGTATTAAGGCCATTGCCAGGGTATGCCTTGTGTTTTGATTTTGTTTTGGTTTTATTCATGAGGTCATACCAGATGTGCATTCTGTGTCGAAAATTATAACACGAGTATATAAAGCTAAGCATTTGAAAGTGAAATGAAATTCCTTAGTTGCCGTTTAACTTTCTCAAAAAAGTTTGTGAGTTATTCCTACATATATTATGGTATATAAATAGCATGATATGAACTTAGAAATGTCCATCTTGAGCCAGAAACGATGGTTTCCACAAGTATTTGGTGGTGTTTTGGCAGTTAAATGCTAATAAATTGACAATGACTGAATCTTTTTGGCTTGGTAGATAGCAGAAACAAGCAAGTGGATTTAGAGGAACCAATAAATTCGTGATCTAGGTGTAGTCTGTTTCTGAAGAGGCTTCCACCTGTTGTTCTATAATTAGGAATGGATGGGGGCCTGGAGAGTTCCAGTTAGCCTCCCTTGGATGCTATATCCATAGAGCAGGTAGAGGAGCTGCTGTTTAACCCATTTAAATTAACCGCAAGGGAAATGTTATCAGGTGACTCTGAAATCTTTGCATTTACTTGTGACTTTAAACTAGTGGACTGTAGAGGTGGGACCCTCATATGTCCTCTCCTGAACTTGTCCTGCATGTGAAAGACTTATAAATAGACCTTTGTCTGGTGTGGGCACCAGATGGATCTCTAGCTATCGACATCCCCGATGATATTCCGAGTAGAGAAATAAATGAAAGGGAGTTGACACAGACCCATGCTGTACCTGAGGCATTGGAGTCCCTAGAGTGGCCTGGTGTTCTCTGGGGAGGCAGCATTGAGAGGCTTCCTGCCCAAGCCTTGTTAGGACACTAATTCTGGCGTAAACGGCCTGCTATCTTAGTCCCCAAGGATCACATTAGAGCGAGGCCCTGGTGTGCTTTGAAATCCACACACAGAATGTTATTGTGCCATAAACTCCATCCAGCACATTTTGCTGCCAAAACGTCAAAGGTGATGGGATCTAAGACCATGAGCTACTTTGAGGGCAAGTCTCTTAACCTCTCCTCACCCTGAGGTTTTCTGAGGGATACTAGGAGCTGTACCATACACTTTGTGGAACAGTTTAAGAACTAATGCACATAATCACTTATATTTCCCAAGGAAAACAACTGCTGAGTGCTTATTAAATCGTAGAATAATAATTTTTGAAATAATATCAGTCTTGGGGGTAAAAGTTTCTTACTTGGCAATGTAAAGACTGTGAAATAGAAATTTGAAATAAATTTAGAGAATAGAGATCTTCTTACAAAACTAATAGACAAATATTTGCTAGTCTCTTGTGTTAAGCAAAGGAGAAGCATTGCCATTTTGCTTAGGATGGGGACTCTGTAGGTGACTTTTTCCAATGTCTGCCTTAGGGTAGCTGGAAGGAAACCAACATCTAGTAACTAATAATGTTAATAGATAACATCTGCCAGGTGCTTCTTATCAGTCTTCACAACCATCTTGTGAAATAGGTAGGTACCATTTCATCCCCATTTTACCATTCAGGAAGCTGGAGTTTAAGTGACTTGTCCTATAACAGAGTGAGGACTGGAATTTGGGTCCCCCATGCGGATACCCTGTCCCATCCTCTCTAATTCGATCACACTCCCATTGCATGTCTGGGAGAGAAGAGAAGCGTTGTTCTCTTATTTAAAAGTGATTTCAGGATTCCTGGTGATTTGTGTGACCTGTAGTGATGGCCTATCAAGGAATGATGTCCCTAATCCCCAAAGGCTTCTCCACTTAACAGGGATAGATGGAAAGTGTTAAAATGCAGCGGATGACTCTGAGTTCTTATTGGTCATTTATGCTTCAGGATTTGTTCAGTTTTTATGATTTGTCTTTGAAAGCGGTGCTAATAGGTGAGCAGGAGGCTATGTCAGGACTTAGGGAATGCCAGGTCATGCCTTGCCCCAGGACGGCACTGCTCGTTTGTCATCCCAGCTGTCATCGGAACTGTTATATTGGTGGATTATGTGTAAGATTTGAGTCTGGCATAAATACAAATATATTTTTGTTTTTTTTAGTCCTATTTAAAAAAATTAGGGGGGGCACATAGTGAGTTATAGATATAAGGAAAGCATTTTTTCCTCAAATGAGGCTTATATTTTTCTTTAAACAGACCAATAGCATGTGTTTTACGATGAAAACATCCTGTGTACGAAGAAGATTTAGAGAATTCGTGTGGCTGAGGCAGAGACTCCAGAGTAATGCACTGCTGATGTAAGTGATTTAAAGAGTGATTTATTATATTCAGTATTTAGAAATTTGATATGCATAAGATTTATAGGAATATAAATTATGAAGTATTCTATAGGTATTCTTCTTGATTGCAGTATATAGCTTTAGTTAATTTTGTGGCTACAGCATCTTAATTCAAAATTTATCACTTGAATTCCAACTTTTATGAGTATGGACCATGAAAGACCTCAAAAATGTTTAAAGATGGGTTTTTCTTTAAGTTAACTTTCTCATACCCTTATTATATAACTATTTATGTAATATATAATTATTGTGTGATAGTTATCATGCGTAATTTGCTTTCACTTTGAGAGATTTCTGTAACTAAACCACCTCGATTCGATGATCACAAAAATTATTTTCTTTCTCCTAAGACAACTGCCGGAACTTCCATCGAAAAACCTCTTTTTCAACATGAACAATCGCCAGCACGTAGACCAACGGCGTCAGGGTTTGGAAGATTTCCTCAGAAAGTAAGTGTGCGGAAACTCTCGGGGCCTCACAGGAGATGTGAGAAAAGTGTTTGCAAGAGTCGAGTGTTCGTGATCAGGTGGGGGAGAACATAACTGTCTCTGAAATGCTAATGATGTGCTCTGGAGAGCGGCTCTGTAGTTCATTTTCTATATTAGAGCACCATCTTGTGGCTAACATCATATGGCGCATATTTGGGACCAAATCTAGGAAGAAAACAATGAACTAATTGAGTCAGATAATAAAGACGTGGCCTCTTAAGCTGTAAAGCAGAGCCAAATGACTTGGGAGTTTAGCTGACAAAAGTAAAATATGCCAGGAAACAGATGTGCCTTATTAAAAAGGCACTTCTTAAGAACTGTCTTTATGTACAACATTTAGGATCGACAGATGCAAATCAGCTCTGCAATGGGCTGCTAATATCCTCTGGGCTCCTCTCAATGAAGAGTTTACTCTTTGGAGGGAATGTTTATAAGGGAGCATTTATTGGTGTTTGATAGTCTCTGTGGGTTGTTGACTCTGGATTACTCGGTAAAGGTAGGTCCTACAGTTACATGATGTGAATTCACACTACTATAATTTCTCTTTTGTCCCCCACTCTGGAATGCTGGGATGCTCATCCTGTGGGACAGCACATTGGTTTGCACAGAGACTCTGAGGCTGGACTGCCTGAGTTTAAATTCTGGTTCTGCTACTTATTAGCTGGGGGTTTGGGCAAGTCTTTTACCTCCTCTGTGCATGTGTTTTCCCATCTGTAAAATGGAGTTAATAATAGTCCCTACTTTATAAAGTTGTTGAGAGGATTAAATGAGTTAACAAAGGTAAAGCACTCACAACAGTCTGGCACATAATGCGTGATTTCTAAGTATTGTCATTATTTGTTTAAATGCACTTAGAAATGAAATAGCTTTGAGCTAATTTTTCTAACTTCCTTATTTTCTTATTTAATTTTTCTAGAGAAGAAAATAGTGTGAGTCATATGACTACTAGTTAGTGCCAGATCCCAGTCATCTGAACTCTCTTTTTCTCCTAGCTTTAAGATCTGAAGTAATCTCATTTTGAGTTTACTACCTGGACCGTAGAGCTAGCCTGAAATAATATACTGCCTTCTCTCCATATGGCTCACTCATCAAGGGTTTGGTTATTAAGTATGCACATGAATATTAATATTTATTTCTATTAAATTGATCTACTGCCTTTCCTGCGAAGGGGTCAAGGAGATGTACAGAAAATCCAAGATTATAATTGAGGGAGGGCCAGAAAAGAAAAAGAAGCCAGAGGAATAAAGATGACACAAGGCCAGAGTGAGAGAGGAACTGAGCCACGTCCTGGGAAAGCATTGCTGTGGTAGTCCCTTGGGTGTCAGAGGCGTGACAGAACAAAGGCCTGGTCAAGTTTTTTCTGCCCTTTTGGAGACAGCTTCGATTTTCATTGTCGTGTGAATGAGACCCAGGTGGCTGATGGCCTCTCCCTTAAGATGTGGTCCCTGCAGTCCGAATTTGCGGTGTGGCCTATTGGTCCAGATGCTGCTTTCGGATGCTGCAGACTGGCCATTGCCAGTGAGGCCTGGATAGGGACAGCCAAATCCCGCAGTCTCCATCAGCACTGAGGAGCTGCCTGTCTTACATAGAGAGGTCTCCTTGTTTGACATCAAAGGAGAGTATGTATCTCTGTATTTATGTTGTTAGTTAAGCGCAGGACATGTTTTCGACCAGGAATTACTTTGCTGTTTTAAACATCACCTTTCCTTCCTACAAAATGAATGACTCGAGTGTCATTCGGACACAGTGGGGTTATGCTTGCACTTGGTTATTTTTTGCATACTGTGTCACTGAATCTGCTGACTGAATTTGACGCAGACATCGTAGTGGAAAGTGTCCTGGATCAAGAACTCGGGGAGCTGGGTTCCAGGTCTCCCATGAATCTTGGCTTCTGATTTTTTTTCTTGGAAAAGTCACTTAATTCTTTTGAGCCTTGGTTTGCTATTAAGAGCATGATAATGTTACCTATGCGTCGCCGACCTTCACCGAGTGGTTGTGTTGTTCAAAGGCAAATCTATTAGGTGACTGCGCTGGGCCAGGCCGGGTACCGGGGAAACAGGACTGTACAAAATGGACACAAATCCTTATCGTCTTGCAGTTTCCATTCTAGTGGAGAAGCATTAAGTATATATCAGGGGCTGGCTAGATTCATTCAAGTTGGGTCTGGGTTTTCATCCAGAAGTCAAGTCATAGAAGAGATACTAAGTTCCCTTGTCATGTGACTTGTTCCACTGACTACGTGAACTTGGTCTCCAAGCTGATGGTGCGTCCGTGTGCTTTGGACCCGAAGGAAGCGCATGGTTGGATTCAGGCTTGGCCTGAAGATGAGCTGAAGGCTGTGCTCCCTCCTCTCTGAGGATCCCGAGGCGTGGCTCTCCTGTTCTTTGTCCCATTTGTGGAGAAGTAGCAGCCTTCCATGTCTTTGCCCTGGTGTCCCCCCAGCTCAGGCCCACTTTGGGAAACTGGATGCAACGAACAACTTGCCCATCTAGGGACTGCGTCCTGACCCCGGCTTGACATCCCCTGAGGTCCCATCGGTGAGCCATTACATAGGGCCACCATCAGTAGCCTGTACCTTGTTTGTTTGTAGAACACTTTACACACTTGAGAGGGAAGACACCACAGCATTAAATACAAACTATGCTTGTGTGGCAGGTTTTTAGCATGTGTTTTAAAAATTCTGGATTTTATGTGAAGTTTTGAAGTTATGAAACGAGAGCACTTGATATGTTCAAACCCTTTGAAACCAAAATGCTGCTGTCTCTAGGCATATGTGTGTGTATGTAATATAAATATAACATTTTAAAAAATTTTAAGGTCATTTGTGAAATAATATATATTTAATAGCAAAGTATATATCCAAGCCAGTCTTCATGGAGGAATTAGAAAGTCATTCCTTTGACTAAGTGCCAAAAAGAATAATTTGTACCATTTATTGAACACTTGCTATATATTTAGCTTTTTACATGTTTTATCTCAATACCTGCAATAATATCAGGAGTTGGGTATCATCTCAATTTTATAGACAAAGAAATTGTAGAAAAGGTAGAGGCACTTTATTAATCCCAGGAACTAGTAAGTTTATGATTAGCTGAACTCTGTGATTGACATTTATTATTTTTTTTTAGAGTTAACGGGAACGTTTATTAGAAAAGGGGCAACACTACACAGACAGAATGTGGTCTCCTCTCAGAGGCAGAGAGTGAGAGAAACCCTAGGACATTTTGAAAACATATTCATTTTTCCTTTTTCTTGGCTACACTCTCCCTATTGGATCTTTCCCCTAAATTATAAATATAATTAATTTACAGATTAATTATAAATTGTAAGTCACTTCTATTAGTGGTTAGGGAAAAAGCAAGTTATGGACTAAAATTATACACTCTTCGTAAAACTCCAACTATGAAAATGGCATTCCTCCTAATTTTTTACATTTGATTGATATCACAAATGGGAGCCAGCTTTCTCTCCTTTAATTAATTCATCCCATCGATATAACTACATTTACCATACAATGTAGACTTTTGTATTACAGTTCTGCATATCTTAACAATTTAAAGAATGTTATTTATTTATTTATTTTTACAAAGGATACCATGAAAACACTACAGCTAGTTACACACACACACACACACACACACACACACACACACACAATTTTTGTCTTTGTGTTCAATAGAGGGCACCACAGCACAGTTCATGAATGTCTTCAGTGAAGATTTGTAGGTTTTATTTTTTTCTCATGGTACGAGGTAAACAAGCTGAATTACATTTTTTTCCTACATCAAATTGCTAACCTTTCACATGCTATACAGATGTGTATATATGTCACTGTACCGGGTACAGTAGAGCCGAGTGTCCTTGGTTAGCATTAAATGTTTTTGCATAGCTATATATTGTTCTCAACTGAACCAATATATAATACACCTAATAAAATCATGTTGAGGAAAACCAGATTTTCAACTGTATCCAATTCAAGCGGAAAAACAGGTTTTGCTTTGTTTAAAGTTGTTACGGGGAAAGGAATAACTTTTGACTCATATTGTAAATATCTTTTCACAAATTCCTTTAAAATCCTAGAGGCTGTTTTCCTTTTACAAAGGCTTGAAAATTGTATACATCTATTTTTATGGAGGCTTATAAAGATGACATTTTATTGACTGTTTTACAAAGTACTCTTTATATTAAGTTTGAAGTTGATTTACTGCTATTAGGTTTGTGGAAAATGTGGCACAAATATGACTAAGGTAAAAATAGAATTTAATATTATGATGATGGCAGTTGCAGCACTGATAAATATTAAACTAGCTAATACTTAAAATGAACTAGTTGAGCTCCCTGATTCCGATGGGAAAATACTCTCCAGATTTTGTATTTTTAATTTTGAAATGAAATATCTGACTAAAAATAAAAATCAAATACATTAAAAATTAATTTTGCTTATTTAAAACTCATGCCAATGAAGAATGGTGGCATAAATTTAGCCAGCGAGACCGAGGGAATTCAAAAAACCAGAACCGTGCCTAAGCAGATGTACCGTTTTTCAACTCCAGGCCTGTGTGGGTCGTCAGACGTTCCTGCCCCAGACACACCTTTCTCCGGCTTCAGAATTGTGGGCTGGGTGTGCCCAGCTCCCTCTCGCTTTTCACCTGCGTGTCCTCCAGATGGCAGTATTAAGCAGAAAAGAAAACATGGGGAAATAATGAGTCTAATGTACAGTAAAATTGGAAATTGAATTATAGCTCAAGAAAAAAAGACAGTAGCCTTGAGGTCCCGATCAGCCTGGACTCTGATCACTTTTGTTTGCTGTACCCATGTGTTAGGTTACTAGCAAGTTAATAACCGTGCGTGAGCAGTTCAAGGCTCAGAAGAATTGCTTTAGACATGAAATAAAGCTAAAATGAATTTGTGTCCAATATCATTGGCATTAGTGCTCATTACTTTTGTGGTGTAATGCCTTGAACCATCTAAAATCAATTTTAAAGATTACCCATTATTTTATAAAGAAAATAAAACACATTTCCAACAGAAACAAAGCTGTAAGTATAATCCTATGAACAGTTACTTATACCATGGCTGGCAGGAAACCACTGGCAGAAGGACACAGGAAACACTCCGTTCAAACTTCACAGTGAATGCAAGTTAATATTAATGGGTCGTTGCCACATAAATCTTCTCTTGATTTGAAGTATTTAAAACAAGAGTGGTAAACATTCATAAATGCAGAAAATTAATCTCAAAGAGTAGTAATAGGGGTGTACTTCTTGTATTTGGTAACTTAATCTTTACCATGTGACATGGTCATCTAGGATAACCCAGGGCAGGTGACAAAGAGGGAAAGGAAGTATTCAGAAGTTTTGCTTGAGATTTTGCCTTTTATAAAGCACAAAGGTTTTTCTTTTTTTTTTGTAAGCCAGTAAAGAATATTTTCTCAAACTACATTTGTAAGCCTACTGAAGCTAGATTTGGGTATGGATACTGCATTTTTAGACGTTTGCCTTTTTGAAAAAAAAAAAATAATTATTTTGAAGAAAAGGAAATATTCTAATGACCTCGGATTTTAAGTAAATTGAGATGAATGGCCAGAAGAGATTTACTTTTCTAATTGTTAAAAAATGCAGAATATAAGGTAAGGTTCATTTGGTCTGAAGTACATAATCTATTTTTCATAACTTTCTTGATGAAAAATCCCATGTTGGGCAAAATTATACTTGGGTTTTAGAGTTTTAGCTTTTCCCCTCCCTATATCTGGTCTTAGTATCTTGTTCTATCATTATTTAACTACAAATAGTAACTATATTTCATACAAAAATGTTAAAAAGATAAAAAGTTTTTATATGTAAATATAAGGGTGTAATTTGACTTAATTTCCTGTTCTAAGACATGCATTTCAGAAAAAAACACATTCACTAATAACATGAATTTGAGCATGTGCAGATTTTGTTTCAGGGTAGTTTTTACTCCTTCCTGTAGTTCTGAGGCACTAGTTGAAATCTCTACTGTGTGTAAACTTTGATCTCGAATGTGGGAAGGCTAGTATGTACTTATTACAAAATTATCCTATTTTAATTATATATATGGTAAAACTGGCTGGAAGCCGTTTTATTTGGCGGCTCGTTTTAACAACATAGAATTACGCAGTGCCACTGAAGATTTTGGAGAAATTTCTAGTTAATCTTAGGTATTCAAAAAAAGCCACCTCTCAGCTGAGCCCTTGTAAACTTGTACATAAATGTACTTGTAACGTTTTTTTTCAATAAAGAAATGCATTGACTTTTTAATAGAATTTTTAATAGTAGTTGAAAGTTTTTGATGTTTCCTGACAGCCTAGCCAATAAAGATCACAGAATTGACATGCTGGTTGGCAGTCAATTTTTTTTTTTTAAGTAGAATAAATTTCTATGACTACATAAGCAAAATATTTCCATAATTAATCCACATGGCCATAACAGATGGTTAAATCGAAGAAATGTCCTTGAAGTTATTCTTTTAACAGATGTTCTTAACTATTAGCTTCATGTTTTTACTCACCTAAATTTCCAAATAATTGAATAAAAGTTAACATATGCTTTCATCTCTTTAATAGGCAGAGTCCATAATTGATGCAAAGTTTGCCATAGTAGACAAATTACTTCGGTGGCACATTTCTACTGTTTTTCTCTCTTCTACCCTATAATTTTGTCCATCTCTGTTCACTGATTATTTGTTTTTCTTTTACGTAGGGTCCTACAGAATGCACTTCTGCTTTCAGATAGCCGCCTTCACCTCTTCTTACAGAGCCATCTGAATTCAGAGGACATCGAGGCATGCGTTTCTGGGCAGACTAAGTACTCCGTAGAAGAAGCAATTCACAAGTTTGCCTTGATGAACAGACGTTTCCCTGAAGAAGATGAAGAAGGAAAAAAAGAAAATGACATAGATTATGATTCAGAAAGGTATTTCCTTGCGTTACGATTTAATATATGTGTATTTATATAACACATAGTGCGCATATACATGTGTATGGATACATACATACATTTCACTTTTTGTTGATGTAATACTAAGATAATGAAAAAATTAATTGACTGAGATTTTATTGAGCTGTGACAGCTCATCATAGTAGTCTTCACACACACCTCCACACTGAATTAATGAATGCAGTAGAAATTCAATTATCTGCATTCTGATTATGTGACTTTCATTTAGTCAGACTTGAATTATTCGCGTTTAAATTATCTAGCTAAAAAAATATCCAACTGCACTCCAAATGGCTAATTAAAAGTCCAAATTTCCTGTCTCTCTTTGTGACTGGAGATAATTAAAGTTCTCCTCTGTTACTCAGGCTTTGAGTGTGTTGTGAAAACCAATTTCCTCTTTTTATTATTTTCCCCCTCTCTTCTTTTCCAGTTCATCCTCCGGGTTTGGACATAGTAGTGATGACAGCAGTTCACATGGATGTAAAATGAGCACAGCTCCGCAGGAATCCTGAAAAATAATTCTAATGTTACCATCTTAGGAATAGCAAATTATGTCCAGTCATAGAGAAGAAAGCTTGCTAATGATGTATTCTTACCTAAAGCTCACTGTCATGATATTAGGTATTTAAATTCTTCAAGATGTTGTTGGGTTGTTTATTAGTGATATTTTTATGTTGTCTTATTTTGTCTAACTTTCTGTAAAAAGCTAAAAGCCTGTGAATGCAACACCCTCCTGTATAGGCAAACATTATGGTAAAATAAGACCCTGCCCTCAAATGAAATGATTTGTATGTTTAAAAAGACTTCATTGGTTTTTTTGATTTTGAAAGACAGGTAAATAGGTAGCAGTTAAAATCCAGATAGAGCATTCTTTCTGGTATCATTTGGGGCAGTGTTACCGTAAACACAGCATGTATGAGCTTAACCACTATGAAGACTGACAGCGTGGACTAGACTGCCTCGTTCAGCCATGCAGCTGATATTACATGGGTACCTCCTCTGCACTGAGAAAACACTGCTTTTTGGGGTGTTTGACTGAAATATTTTAAGAATGTTTAACCTTTCCATCATTCTATTTCACACTTAGATGGGAAATGTATCTTATGAATAGAGATATATTAAAATAATGTTTACATCTTAGAAAACAACAGGACTAGTGCTAGTAATTTTGCTTATATTTGCAATACACAGATTCAGGAATACAGTTTCGTTGTCCAAAATCAGCTTCAACACATGGTTCCTGGAAATAAATCATTTGTTTTCATTATCACTGTGTAATTAGAATTATAGGTTAATGATTTATTTTCTGACTAAATGTGCCATTTCTTATCACTAGATAACTTTCAGTATCGGTGGTTGTTACTTAGCTTTAAGTTAGAAGTAGGATTTTACAAAAATTAATAAATTCAATTTTACCAATAAGTATTCCCATAATTTAGAAAAGGATATCAACTTGCTAATTTCAGAATTAATTATTCATCTTTTTAAAAAGCCCTTTCTTTTCAGGCATCTGCCAGAGAATTGTTATAATTTAACAAAATCTTTTTTTTTAGTGGCCCACAGAGAAAGTATCTTAGATAAACTACATTGCACTTCAAATTTGAGATGAAACAGTGTTTTCTTGAGATAATTATCCAAGTTTCTGTCTTGTCGAATGGTATAAAATATCTCTAAAAGGGAGATATTTTTACATAACTGGAAAAACTTGTTGCTTTAATTAAATATTACCTTACCTCATTTTATTTTAACTAGTTTAAAAGTTATTGTATTATTGAAAAGTCTTTGAAATGCTTGTAACTAAGAAACAACAAAAAAAATTTTAATTTAGGGTAAGAATGATTTCCATAATTTTTCCTTCTTGTTTTTTGTTTGGTTTAAAATATTATTGAACTTTTGTAAGTATTTTGACTTAATGTACATTGGGTCTTATTACTCTATCATCTAGGACTCATTTTAATATAGGAAAAAAAAGAGATTTGGTAGTTTCTTTTTATCTCACTGTAAAGTTTTGCCATCTAGTCATTTAAGAGCGATCTCCAGCTCCTCGGCAATATATATTTGAATTTCACATTTCTGTTTTTCAGCAGTTTTGAAAAGCATGAAATATGCCACCAATTGTCATATTATTTTTAGATGATGTAACAAGCCATCAAAATGGGTGTGAAGTAATGCTTAATACTGTGGTATGTAAACTTTATGAGATCATTGTTTTCACATTAAACATGGAAAAAAATCAACTTTAATTTGTTGGATCACTTATTTTATACGAGAATATAGTTCTTAGACCCAAAATCAGTGTGTTTTGAATGATCGATAATTTTAAGGAAGAACGTAGGTAAAATTTCCTTTAATATTCACTCTAGTTGTATACGTTTGAGGCTTTTAGCCTGTGTTTGGTTGTTTTGATATCTAAATACTGGCTTGTTAAAACTGATATCCAGTAGCTGAGATATTTAGATGAATTTCAGCCCCCAGTAGCTTTCTTGCTTTGTTCAAATCTCTTATTTTTCTCTGGCATATTTTTATAAAGCTTTCTTTAGGTAAAGAAAATAATTACTTAAGTCACTAAATAGAATAGATGTTTCTTTAAAACTATTTTTAATGTAACAAATTTAAAGAATTCTAATCCTGAATGTTTTAGGATTTATATACATCAAAACTGTATATCCCTGGCTAATTCTAAAAGTGTGAACTATTCACCTATAAAGCCAGTTTATGTGTTTTGTTTGAGAGCTGGTTTTTTATATAACCCAAAGGTGTCAACGACGAAAGTCAACAACCTGTTACTTAGGGCTTCTTTTAAAGTCACACTTGGAAAGTGATTTAAATTCTAGTTAAAATTCAAGTTTTAAAAATTACTAAGGAAAATCAGTAATGTTTATCTTTAACTAGTTATGTCCCTTAAGATATTAAGTATCTTGCAGGAGCTTTTCAAACCTAGTTCACATTTTATTGAATAATTACATATAAACAAATGATATGTAATAACTTTAACATTTCTTTTATGGCTACTAAGAATTTAAACAAATTCATTTAGCCTAGCTACAATTACTACTTATACCCAACAGTAAATTGAATGTTGTTTTGAACTTAATTTGTTTTTTCGTTTTTTTTTTGATGCCTTAAGGATTCATCATTATTGAACTATTGTGGTACAAATAAGGTTTTTAGTATTTCAGCTATAAAGGAAGACTCTTTTTCACAAAAGGCCTCTAAAATTTTAAGACAAAAATAACAAAACAAAAGCTTATTCTGTTTCTAAATAGTTTTCCTCTTAATATTTAAATTACTTAGTTGGCATGAATACAATGCAGCATCCTTTCAGTGGAGGAAACTATTTTAATACAATTTTCTGCTTTGGACTATAGACCTTTTGTTACTTTATTACATATAAACATTTTCAAATATAAAATGCTGTCTGAAATTAGTTATTGCAATTGACATTCAAAGCATAGATAACAATTTTCTTTGCAAATAAAGGTTAAAAGAGATTAATACATTTTAGTAGAGTGGAGTTCAAAAATTTTAGAAGGATGTAAATAAACAACAATTTCTTTAAAATTTGAAATATTTACAAAGGATTTTGGCTCTATTCTTTGCCATATGCATCTCAGAAACAAGTCACCATTGTCCCTTTAAGTCAATCACACAACCAACTGCTCTTCACTCTTGCTGGAAACTTTTCTAGATCATTGTTATGAATAGTGCATTGGACACTAATTATTTTTCAGCTGTGCAAACTCGTAGTTAATGACCCTTTCCTCTTTTTTCAAAATTCCAGACTTCTTTTCAACAGATATAGAGGAAAAGAGAAAAAAAAAATAAGTTACAAATTCCTGCAATCTGATTTAAAGACACTATGAACATGACTTATGCTAAAGAGGAAAATACCCTTTCTCTCCCGACGAGAAGTGTAGATTCATCCAAAACCCCACACCGCTTGTCTTTGCTGCTAGAGGCACAGCACGGGCATAACTTGTGGTTGTGTTTTTGCTAGTTTCTTACCTCTGGGCCTTCTTTATAGCTTTGCCCCCCACCCCACTGGCGGCGGCGCTCCCGCGGCTGCCCCCTCGGCCGCCTGTTGGCTGC